CTTGACAATAAAATGCGTAACAACCACTGTTAATTTGCTATTCTTGTTTTGAAAATCTTTACCATTATGTACTATTGTTTGTTACTATTTGTTTCTGCTCTTACTCTTCAAAATAAAATAAAATTTAAATATATATATATATATATGAACTAAAGGAACTAAAAGGCAGAGAATGACAATTCTCTTTCCCAAGAAATGGAACCCTTCCCTTCTTCTCCCCTCCATCTCTCTCTCTCTCTCACCCTTTACACACAAACACACACACCTCTACTGCTTCCTTTCTCACTAGGAATCTGGTATAGATGGATTCCAGAAAGCAATTAAAAACAAAGAAAACAGGAAAAAAAAATCTTTCTTTTACACTGTCATGGGTTCCATTCCCAGCACTACAAAAGAAAAAAGGAAAAAGTCCCTTTCTTCACAGATGACAGGATTGTCTAGGTAGAAAATAGCAAAGAACCAATATAAAAATGACTAGACCTAGTAAAGATACTGTAGTGAGGACACTGAACAGCAAATTAAGAACAAAAGCAATGAACAATGGGATTTGGAATTAAAAACCCAGCACCAGAGATAAAGAATTAAAACTCCAACGGGAGGGAGGGAAGGGAAAAGGGATGAAAATAAGGAACTGGGATGTGTTATGCTGAAGCCGGAAACTGACCCTATGTGGGAGGGCGGGAGGTGGCCTCATGGCCTTTGCAGTCGAGCTACCTCAGTCTTAAGAAAAACATCCAGCCTGGACATTGTTGTTTTCGGGTCGTTCTCCATGGTCCACCACCTAACCTCGGCTATCTCTAAATCCTCTCACTGCTTTCTCCCAGGGACCACCAAGAGACCAACAAATCCCTCCATTATGCGGATGTACCAACCCTACACAGGAAGGCTAAGACTAAGTATTACACTTACAAAATGGGGGAGATTTAAGGGACAGGTGGAGGAGAAGAAAAGGAAAGGGAATAAGAAAAGGAAGGAAGATACGCACACGCGCCAATTTCCCACAAGGAATGTAAACATTATGTACTAGACACATGTACTAACACAATTTTTTAAATAATTTAAAATTTGTTAAAAGTCAAGCATCACTTATATAACATGCACACACAAAAGAAACAAAATAGCCACTATCTTAGTGGGGCAGTCTATCAAAATACATCACACTGAGTAATTTATAAACAACGGAAATGTAGTCTAGAACTAAGAAGTCCAAAATTAAGGCACCACTACACATGGCACCTGTTAGCACTGTATCTATGAGTTCTGGGACAGCAAATTCTTCCAACCATCCTTTGATCCTGGGTTTTTTGTTGTTGCTTTTGTTGTTGTTTTGGTACACATTTGCAGTACAGTAGTCTTGCTATTTTGCAGTCTGACTTTCGCAGACTCACTGTTTCGCAGGTTTTAAAAATACATTAATCTACTGAGTTCAATCCTCGGTTCCACAAAAAAAAAAAAATACATTAATCTAAATTATTTATCTTGGATTTTTTGCTATATTGCAAGATTCTGAAGTACCGTACAGTATACATGTTAAAATTACACAGGTTTATAAGTTTAGAAAATAGGTAATGTTAGAAGTGTTTTTAAAAGTGTTGGAAAAAAATAAAAAAATAAAAAAAAAATAAAAGTGTTGGAAAGATTTATAAGACTGTGGGAAGAGTTTATAAAGCCTTAAAATATATATAAATACTAAAATAAATATCATGTCACTACTTCGCTGATTTCCACTGATCACAGGGTTGTCTGGAACGAAACCTCCCCAATAAGTAAGGGAACACTGTACAGACTTATGTTTCTTCTGTGGAGTTTGCATGTGAGGACACAGAGAGAAGGCGCTGTCTTGGAAACAAAACCTCACTGGTCTCCTTCAGGACAGTAACCCCTCTAGTGGAGGACCTGCACTCATAGCCCAATCGCATCATTAGGCCTGGGTTCCATTCCCCATGGCTGCTAAAATAAGCACAATAAACTATAACCTTCAGAATCAAAATTTACATGAAAACGAAAATGGTCCAAAACGACCAAAATAATGTCCTTGAAACAAGGTAACACTGACCGGACCTGACTATAAGACTCATGTGAAGCTACAGATATGGAGATAGGGCAATATTTGCAAACTAGACAAATATCCATGGAAAGAAACCACAAATCCAATCATGTAACTCAATGGAAAAGTGGTCATTTCAACAAAGGATGCTAAAAAGCCCAGCTATCCAGATGGTAATGACTTAAACACAGATCTCACAACTTTCACAAAATTAACTCAAAACAGATCACAATATAAAAATCACAATATAAGGTACAAAATTCAAAATCTGAAGAATGTAATGCAGGAGACAATTTAAATGTTCTTCGGTTTTGCAATGAGGTGAGATACAACACCAGAAGTATGATCCATAAATCAGAAAAGTTATGAATTCAATTTATGTAAAATTTTGTTTTACCAAGGACTGTTAAAAGAAAGAAAACACATACCATAGACCAGGACAAAACTTAGGCAAATGGCACATCTGATAAAATAGGGTTTTTTTGTTTTGTTTTTTGTCTTGTGATAGGCAGGATTTTAACCCAGGACCTTTACACCGAGCTATATCTCCAGACTTTTTTTATTTTTTGAGGCCATGTCTCGCTAAGTTGCCTGGGTTACAATTTACAATCCTCCTGCCTCAGCCTCTCAGAGTGCGGGATGACAGATGTGTACCACCACGTCCAGCTTCATTCAGTTACTTTTAAAATAAAAATAGTAAGAAGTAGTAGCAGGTGGCGTTAGGATTTGATGTCCTCCTGAGTCACGAGCCTTTGGAGAGGCCTGAGAACCTAACAGATCTTTGGTAGCAAAGGTAAAATTGGATTAAAGATGTTAAAAAATTTTTTAAAAATCATAAATAAGAAAATACTCGATATTTTAAGAATCTAGCAAACTCATCAAATTCAGTATTTGTGTATACACATGGAAAGCATTTCTATTTAATAGCAAACCATAAAAGCACGAGTCTATGTCACTCAGACAATAAAGATGTCATTTCGCGACTCACGATAAATCACTTAGTAAACAGTTAATCATATCTCAATATCTGTAGATGCTGCCAACCCCTATCCCAAGTGATTTAGTATAAATCCATAAGCCCAGAAAAAAGGAAACAGTGCCACAAAATAAAAATACACTGCGCGAGTTCGACGTCTACAGTGATGGTTGTACAGCTGATAATCAGTAGTTTGGGAATACGGGGAGGGATCCGAAATTTGCAGATTAACAGCAGTCTATTAAACGTAGGCTGAGAAAATGGGTCGTAGATTTGGGCCGTTTCCCATAAATGTGAGACTCAAAAAACCAGGCTCCGGCCCACAATTTTTCAGGGTAGAACCCTGCCCCACAGCCGGGGTCCCCCTGCCCTCCCGCCGCCGCCGCCGCCGCCGCCGCCGCCGCCGCCCGGAGGGCTCCAAAACCGCCCGAGGCGCCGCGCAGGACCCAACTGCCGGAGCGGGCCGCGGACCCCGAGCGCCAGACCCCGCCACAGCCGGTTCAACCGGACCCCGTGCCCCCTCCTCGAGACCCCTCGCCCCAGAATCACCATTGCGTAGCTTTCGAGGGCTCTGGGGTCCCCCCTTCGGCTACCAGGCTCAGAATGCGACCAACGCCGCAGCAAAGCCACCTCGGTGGCTGGAGCACCGTAACACGTTTCCCAACGCGCTACCGGAAGACGCAGCGAACCTCACATCCGCTTACCCAGCGGCCCCTTCGCCTTCCTTTCCGGCGGCGCGCCTGATTGGACAGTTCCCACAGTTGGTCCCGCCCCTCTCGGAATAAATGACAGCGAAGTGGGGCGTGACCCTCGGTTTGGCTGCCTACCGCCTGCTGTTACTTCCATTTAAGTAGAATTTTTGCACTACAGAGGAACCCACCCTGGAGTCCCCCTCCCCGTGGTTCCTTCGGAAAAAAAGCGGGGGAGGGGACAGGCAGATGTGCGCAGAGACTGGCAAATTCCATTTTTACTTGGGAGGGAGCACCCAGCCTGGGTGTTTTGATTCCCTTCCAACCAAGAAGTTATATGCTTTATAAATTTGTGAAGCACGGTATTTATACAGGAAAAACAATTTTTTTTCTTGTGCTTTTCTTTATAGATGGAAGCCATAGCCTTGCGCATACTAAGCAAACATTGTACAGCAGCCCTGGAAGCAGTTTTCTAGTTGATAATTTATAATAATTGATAGTTTTTGAAAGTGGCCCTACCATTTCTGACTTTGAAATGTAAATGGCTGTGATGTCGCTAAGGCAAAATGAATTCCTATATCACTGATATAAGAAAAAAATGCAAATTTGCATGTACATTGAAGGTCAATATGCTTAAGAAATTGGATCGAAACTCCTAATGCATTTTATTTTTTTTTAAATCTTGTATTTATTCTAACTCAGAGTGACCATCCTGCCTCAGCCTCCCCAGCGTTGGGATTACAAGATGTGCCACCACGCCTGGTTTCAGTGGCTGGCTGGTACAGCATTTGGTACTGGGTATCAAACCAGGGTCCTTGTGCTTGCCAGGCAGGCGCTTAGACCGCAGAGCTCTCTCTCCAGCCCTGTAATGCATTTTTATTGGAACATGTTTGATAAAATGTAACATACACATTTTACAGTTCAGCATTATATTCAATTACACTTAAAATCATAGCCAGTTTCAGAACATTTTCATCAGGTGACCTAAACAAGCCTTGTACTCGTAGCTGTCACCTCTGTATCCTATTTCCTTCAGGAAACCACCCCCCCATCACTCCTAATCTATGTCCAATCTAGAGAAAGTGACTTACTCTGAACTTTTATATAAAGGGGATTAGATAATCTGTGCTGCATGGATTACTTTATTCATTTTACAATTTGTTTCAAGGGACATCTATGTTATAACAGATAATCCCTATTTTGGTTTATTTCCATAACAAATAATAGGACCGGCCAGATAGCTCAGTAGATTAAAGCATCTGCAGACACTTTAGGCAGACACAGTAGCTCGGGTTTCAATCCCTGGCCTGCCATGCCCACCCTGAGATGGCAACTGAGACTGGGCATGGTGGCGCGTGCCTGTAATCCCACCACTTGGGAGGCTGAAAACAGAAGGATCACTACAAGTCTGATCTGTGTAGTGAGACCTTGTCGACCCTGTACTAAATACATAAAAGAAGAACAAATAATATTCTATTGTACGGATACCGCATATTGTCTGTCCCATCGACCATTACTGAACATGCGCTTTATTTGCTACTTTTGAACATTGTGAGCTGTTGCAATTCATATGGACATATGAGGGGGCCAGGGAGATGGCTCAGTGGAATAAGCGCTTCCCTGGCAAGCACAAGGGCCTGAGTTCAATCCCTGGTTCCACTGGAAAAAAAAAAAAAAAAAAAAAAGCATATGGACATATGATTACATTTATTTTGACCCCATCATTCAAGACCAGCCTGGAAAACATGGGTAAACCTCATCTCTTAAGAAACCGAGAGTGTGAGGATTCTCCTGTCTCTTTTCCAGCAGTCCTCCAGTGCCCGCAATAAAAGTCTCTTTTTATCTTTAAAATAGAAACTAAGAATGAAAAGATGGAGTCTCCAAGCCATAAAAATAACCAAAATGGGCCTCTACTCATAAATGTGATTGACTAGTTTCTTGCAATTGATTTATTTCAACTCTAGACAAATTTATCTCTTCTTCCTAAATTTTTTTTATGTATTTGGTACAATATAGGGTCTCACTATACAGCTCAGACTCATAGTGATCCTCCTGTTTTCAGACTCCCCAGCGCTGGGATTACAGGTGTGCACAACCACACCTGGTCTCCATGGCGGTGCTTAGTCCACTGAGCAATCTCGCTGGCCCTAGAGAACTACTTAATTGCCAGTGGCACAATTAAGTTCACTTCAAACCATTCTATAAAGAAACACTTCATTTCAATAGCAATGAAATCATCAAACAAAAGCTCAAATCCAAAAAAGTTCTTTTCAATACCCTATTACTAGGGGCCGGGGAGATGGCTCAGTAGAATAAGCGCTTGCCTGCAAGCACAAGGGCCTGAGTTCAATCCCCGGTTCCAGGGAAAAAAAAAAACTATTACTAGGGTTTGCCAGTTAGCTCAGTTGTTTAAGTGCCTGTATGGACAAACCCAGTCAGGCACAGGGGACTGCAGTTCAATCCCCAGCTCCACATGACACACCAGACCCACCCTTAAGGCAGCCTGAGCCAGCAAAAAAAAAAAAAAAAAAAAAAAAATCCTTCCCCAGTACTGAAAAAATTAATAATTACTGATGCTCCCCATTTAATGGTCACTGGTCCTTCTATGATTGTTTTAAGTACTGTGAATGACTGAGAAGTTGGCTTATGAAAAAAAAATTACATATATTAAGAAAATATTTCCCCCAGGGAAAACAATACCCAATCTTATATGCACCCAGTAATGATATTAAGTGGGCATATACAATGGTTGACAAAATTATAAGCTTAAATCTGAAAATCTATAATCATGATAGATTATTTTTACCATAGTTTTATGGGACATGAACAGGACAATGATGGATAGTATACAAATTATTTAATAACAGGCAAATATCCCTAGGAAACATCTATAGAAACTGACAAAGACACGCACAGTTTTAAATTACATACAATGAAAGAAAATGGAAAGCAGGACATTCAATAGTGACAGGAAACACTAACAGCCTGCTTGGTATAAAGCAGAGGCTCATTCTTACACTGTGGCCGGATCAGTGTGTCCGCTGCACCCTTACATAGTGGGACAAACTCTCACATTGTCCTTTCTGACTACACACTCCAGCTATCATGGAGGAATCAGAAACACATAATATGACAGCATTAACAAAACAAAGTGCTTACTACAGAAGTGAATACGCCAAGGAATCAAGTATACCAAGGGATATTCTCAACCTCAAGTGTCCACATTCACCATCTCATGGGCATACTAATGTCTCTGGGAAAATCCAAGCCACAAAAGATGTCTGAGTGGAACTTGTGGAGCCATGCAGCTGTGTGCATTTGAGGAAGGGGTATGCTTTGCAAAAGGCAGTTAAGCAGTTCTATCTTTGGGCCACACCTCACAGAAGGCTTTCATACAAACGGGAAGGGAATAGCCTACTCTAGAACTCAGCTATATGGTACAGTTTACTGCTTCTAAGGTTTAAACCTGTGCAGCATGTTACTGAACACTGTAGACAATTATAATACCGTGGTAAATGTATTAAATATATCAAATCTTAGAAAAAGGTACAATAAAAATACAATATAAAAGATAAAAATGGTTCACCTGTACAGGATACTGCCCATGAATGCAATTTGCAGGACTGGAAGCCACTATGAATAAGTCAATAAGTGTTAACTGAACTGAAGGCCTAGGACATTTGTTTAAATTACAATTGACTTTCAACACTACACACATAGACTACACTAAATTTATAAGAAAAAATTTCCTTTCAATACATTAATCTAAAAAAAAAAAAATACATTAATCTAGGGGCCAGGGAGATGGCTCAGTAGAATAAGTGCTTGCATGGCAACCACAAGGGTCTGAGTTCAACCCCCAGTTCTGCCAAAGAAATAAAAAATAAATTAATCTTAGCTGTATAATCTTTACTTCATAAACTTAATTTTTCCAGAACCATGATATGCAAGAGCTCTACCATTGAGCTACACAGCCTCTCACTAAAAGTTTTCTTTAAACTTTTTTACTCATGTGTAGAAACACTTAGCTTAAAATACAAACAAAAGACCATTTGTGGTTTATAAACATAATGACTGGGTTTTCACAGTTTTATGAGATGTGCCTTCCTGTAACATTAGCACATAACTCGTCTGCCATGAAAAAAGAGAAAATACAAACATATTATACAGCTGTACAAAACTACTTTATGTCCTCATTCTATAGTTTTTCTATTTTTATTATTTTTCAATTTTAGGGCTTTTTAAGACCTTTTTACTAAAAATCAGCACACAAACACATAAGCCTAGGCCAACATAGGATGACCAATATCACCATCTCCCTTGGCTACATCTCATCCCAAGGAATGGTCTTCAGGGGCAATAATGCAGATGGATTTGTCATTTCAAAGATAATGATGCATTCCCATGAGGTGTCTCTGGAAAGACCTGCCTGATGTTGCTCAACCTTTTGTTGTTGTCTTTTCTGAGACAGGGTCTCATTATGCAGTTCTGGCCGGCCTGAACTTACAACGATCCTCCTGCTTCAGCCTCCCAAGTACTGGGATTACAGAATTGTACCACACACACCTCAGCTGTTCAATTTTTGAACAGTAGGAGCACATTCTCAACTAATGATATAAAATGATAGTAAGTAAATACACGATAATTTATTACCAAATCCTATATGTAGTTGTATGTGCTCTATTTTATACAACTGGCAGTACAGGTTTGTTTCTAGCAGCAGCATCTCAAATATATATGATGCACCATGACATGGCAATGGCTACTATATCATTAGGCAGTGTTTCAGGTACATTAAAATCTCACAAGACCTTGTTGCATATGTCCACTACTCATGAGTGAAATGTTAAGCAATGTGTGTCTATACTCTTCACTGGCAGGGCAAAGCATCAAGAAAATGAGGTAGGGGCTGGTGAGATGGCTCAGTGGTCTAAAGCACCTACTTAGAACAAGCTTAGCAAAACACAGGGACCGCGGTTCAATCCCCCAGCACCACATGCCAGCCAGCCCCACCAGCCCCGCCCGCCCCCTGCTGGGCTGAGCTGGCCACACACACACACACACACACACACACAAATAAATAAATAAATAAAATTTTAAAAAAAAGAAAATGAGGTAGAAGTACTCATCCGCAGGAGCTTACAGTGGCAACAACATCTAACTCCTTTCTTAGCTTCTATCTTCTGTATCTCATACAAGTAGACTATCAGCAAATGTTAACATGGAACCGTATGGGATGGACTGTAGAAAACATAACTCACAATGCTACCCACATTAAGACGCTCTAAGAATGCCATGTCCAACTATGAATTAGATTGTACTATCAGGGTCTCTGTTTAATGTGAGGTCTATTTTACAAAGCACAGTGAGAAGGTATGACAAAACAACAGCAAAAGATGAAAAGCACAATTCAAGCATCAGCATACATCAATATAAAGTCTGCATACTCACAAATCTATAAAATTATTAATATAGAAAACTGAACAACACTTCTCGGCCCTCTCCAAAGAAAAGCTTCTTGCAAACAGAAAGAATCTATAGCCTGGGCATGGTAGTGCACTGCTGTGATCCTCAACACTCAGGAGACTGAAGCAGAACTGTTGCAAAGTTAAGGCCAGCCTGGGCCATAGAGTAAGTTCAAGGCCAGCCTGAACTACACAGTGGTGAGACCACTTTCTCAACCTACACCACCCCAAATGTATATAATTCATAAGGAATATCTATTATCTGCCACACAAAGCCAGTAGCAATACTCATTCCAAATCATTATTCAATGGTTCCTTATTCAAAGAACAATTTAAAAACCATATAAAAATATTAAGAATTTCATATCAGAGACACACTTAGGTTCACTCATGAACTCAACAGACTTCAACAGACTTTCTTTCAAGCAAAAGAGAAAATTGTACTATTTCATGAAAAGCACTACCTATTAAATAGGTGTACTACTCTTTAACCAGGGCTTACAAAATTATCTCACCTCAATGTTCATCTGCCAAAGTAATAAATACAAATTTGTAGTTCAAGGACACATTTTAAGAATAAACTGATAAAATGTTAAGTTTCATGGTATTTCTTTCATGATGTAAACTTCCCATATTGTCTACATTTGTAAGATTTCTCACCAGTGGGAGTCCTCATGTGAGACTAAAGTTTCACATGGTATCACTTGACTATATGATAAGATGGAAACTTTTCCATTATTTTTTGCTTTTATAGATTTTCCATTCATGTGCCTTCTCCCTTGTTTTGCAGGGATGTGGACCACTGAAGACTTTCCTGCACTGCTTACACTGAGTAAGATGCTTTCCAGTGTGAGCCTGTTTATGTTTTACAAACAGGTAAAGGATTTTACACAATCTTTATGCTGTAGGATTTTTCTCCATGTACATTCTCAATGCATCCTCAAAGAGATGTATGATCAATAAAAACTTTTTGATAGTGCTTATGGTCACATGACTGCTCTCTATTCTGAATTTTTTCTGTATTCTTCCAATATTCACACTTGGAGAATTGAAAGTTTCCTTTGTACTTAATTTATGTTGTTCCGGTGTGAAAGAATAAACCAGGGACTGTATGCACACTAGTCAAGGCCTCTAGTGCTGAGCTACCTTTGCAGGCCCTCCCATATTTTATATTCACAGGGTTTCTTTACAGTAAAAGTCCTGCCCTATCTTCAAAGAGCAATGAGACATCAGAAAGCTTTACATTTTTTTTATATTCAAATGGTTATTGTCCATTATGAGTTCTTCCATGTATTCGAAAGGAACGGGAACACTTGAATGCTTTACCACATTGTTGACATTCATAGGGTTTCTCCCCAGTATGAGTTCTTTCATGGATTCGAAATGAACGAGAGCAACTGAAGGCTTTATGACATTGCTGACATTCATAGGGTTTCACTCCTGTATGAGTCCTTTCATGCATTCGAACAGAACTGGAACAGCTAAAGGCCTTCCCACACTGCTTACATTCATAGGGCTTCTCTCCAGTGTGAGTCCTTTCATGTATCCGAATAGAACTAGAACAACTAAAGGCTTTCCCACACTGTTTACATTCATAGGGTTTCTCTCCAGTGTGGGTCCTTTCATGCATTCGAAAGGAACTAGAACAACTGAAGGCTTTCCCACACTGCTTACATTCATAAGGTTTCTCTCCAGTGTGTGTTCTTTCATGCATTCGAAAGGAACTAGAAAAACTGAAGGCTTTCCCACACTGTTTACATTCATAGGGTTTCTCTCCAGTGTGAATTCTTTCATGCATTCGAAAAGAGCTAGAACAACTGAAGGCTTTGCCACACTGTTTACACTCATAGGGCTTCTCTCCAGTGTGAGTTCTTTCATGGATTCGAACAGAACTTGAACAACTGAAGGCCTTCCCGCATTGCTTACATTCATGAGGTTTTTCACCAGTGTGAGTTCTTTCATGCATTCTAAAAGAACTGGAGCAACTGAAGGCTTTTCCACATTGCTTACATTCATAGGGCTTCTCTCCAGTGTGAGTTCTCTCATGAATTTGAAATGAACTGGGACAATCAAAGGCTTTGCCACATTCCTTACACTTATAAGGCCCATTTCCAGTATGCATAATCATGTGTCTTCTGTAGCTTGGAAGAGAAATGAATGCTTTTCCACATTCCTTGCAATCATATGGTTTCTCCCCAGTATGAATTCTTTCATGCTTTCGAAAGGAACTAGGAAAACTGAAAGCTTTGCCACATTTTCTACATTTATAAGGTTTTTCACCAGTATGAATCCTTTCATGACTTCGAAAAGATGTTGGACAACTAAGAGCCTTACCACATTGCTTACACTGATAGGGTTTCTCTCCAGTGTGAGTTCTTTCATGTATTTGAAAAGTTTGGTAATACCTAAAGGCTTTTCCACATTGTTTACATTCATAGGGTTTCTCTCCAGAGTGAGTTCTTTCATGGTTTCGAAATGAACTTGGATGACTAAAAGTCTTCCCACATTCTTTACATTTATATGGTTTCTCTCCTGTGTGCATCCTCATGTGTCCTCGAAAAGTTGTGTGATAAATGAAGGCTTTGCCACACTCCTTACATTCATATGGTTTCTCTCCAGTGTGAGTCCTTTCATGTATCTGATAGGAACTGGGCCAACTGAAAGCTTTCCCACATTCCTTACATTTATAGGGCTTCTCTCCAGTGTGAGTTCTTTCATGTATTCGAAATGAACTTCGAAAACTGAATGTTTTCCCACATTCTTTACATTCATATAACTTCTCTCCATATTTGTGGCACTCATAAGGTTGGCATCCATTATGAGATTTCATGTGTCTGTTAAGGGATGAGTGACACATATAGACTTTTCCACACACACTACACTCATAGGGTTTTGCTCCAGGAAGAGTTTTCTTGTTCCATTTAAGATCTAGAACCTGGCTGACAGTTTCCCTAAACTGACCTTCTTTCTTTTCACCAACTCTTTCTTCTATATGATCTCTGTAAAATATAAGAAATACATTATTAGTGGCTTTTTTGATGATTTAATAATTATTAACGACTATTAAATATTTCAGAATTTTTTCACAATTATTAATAAGTAACAGAATTACAGAACTGGAACAGCTAAAGGCCTTCCCACACTGCTTTACTATTTTCATGGAGCAAGTATGTAAATGAATGCTCTAGATTAGTGTCTGACCATAGCTATTACCAAAACAGTGAAAGTTGTAATATGTAGTTTCTTAATATTCTTTAGAAGTTCATTATTTTTCAAATACTGGATACCTATGCCATTGAAAAACTTGGTGAAAATTTTTCTAGACATATATAAGTAAGAAACTGGATTTGTTCTGTTTAATTGCTTTTTAAAATTTCATGACACACTAAGATTTTCTCATGGGGCACTACCTTTTTTGTACATCAAACTCACCTTAGGTTTTTTCCCTGGTTTTTGTGATTATCTTCAATGCTGTGGTCATCCCAACTTTCCTCTAAAATGCAAATCCAAAAGAGTCATTTTAGGATAATGTGAAATTATGAAAATACTACAGTCTAGGTCTGTCATGTACTGACAGCCTGCCAATTCTACTTACTAAGGCATGCCCTTTCCATGATGTAAACCTTAAAACCTCATTAATGAGCAAAACATACTTGTTCTCTAATTGAGTACAGAAATGATTTTGTTCTCACCTATAGAAGCCAAGTTAATGAAGGTTTCCTGCATCACATCTCTGTAGAGCTCCTTTTGGGAAGGATCCAGCAAGGCCCACTCCTCCTGGGTAAAATTCACAGCCACATCCTCAAAGAACACTGAGTCCTAGAACATCACATACATATACATGTAAAGGAAGATGGGTCACACTGATAAAAACTTTGAACCTACACACAACCTATTAAGAAATTCAGGGCTGGTGAGATGGCTCAGTGGTCTAAAGCACCTACTTAGAATAAGCTAAGCTAAGCAAAGCACAGGGACCGTGGTTCAATCCCCCAGCACCACATGCCAGCCAGCCCCATCCCCTGGTGGGCTGAGCTGGCCACACACACACACAAAATAAATAAATAAATAAATAAATAAATAAATAGAAATTCACATACGATTCTACAGTCTCCAAATATTTATTCTATAACATGGTTATCAGAAATCTACTTCTCCATTTAATATTTTTTCTTTCCTTTTTCCTTTGCAAGTGACTCTATAGAATAGGACCAGGGAGATGGCTCAGTAGAATAAGCGCCTGGCAAGCACAAGGGCCTGAGTTCAATTCCCAGTTAAAAAAAAAAAAAGTGACTCTGTAGAGAGAACACCCCTCAATCACCCTAATGGTTTAAGAACCTGCAGCGCCGTGTATTATGAGGTTGCACAATGGTTCCCATCCCATCAGCCTACAGATAGAAGAGCTAAGCAAGTACAATCTCTAGATACCAGGCAAACTGTATTAGTTGAACTTTCAAATTATCTCCTGATATGTTATTATCTCTTCCTTTTCATTAAAAATGTGAAAGATTATATATCTTTGTACAAAAAGAAAATGATGTATCCTTGAAAAAGTATACAATTTGCAACAAACTTGATTAAGACTGTAAGGGTTATATTAAGTGAAAAATCTACACAAGAATAGACCAGTACTACACATTCTCTCTCATATGTGGAAGCTAAAACATGTCTTGAATTTAGAACAGTGATTACCAGAGGTCAGAAGAGTGTGTATGGATGTGGGGGGAGAAAGCGATGGATACAGTGACGTTGGACTTGACCAGTGTATAGTGCATATATGTGCTGAAATATCACACTAAACCTTATGACTATGGGGTAAAAATACATTTTAATTGAAAAAGAAATATTTCTCTGCCCATATCTATTTGCTCACAGATATAATACCTGAATAGAAGTAAATTATTTCTGCTTCTATTCTGATTACTTCATAATTTATTGCACTTCAATGATAGGTACAAAGCATCTCAGAGAATTCTATACAACTTAAACAAATACTTCTACTTAGGGATAAGCAATTCCTTCTCAAAAAAAAAAAAAAAAAAAAACCTTTTAGCTCCTGCCTCACCATATACCGTATCACTAAGCATTCCAAGAAACTGAGGCACATCTGTATGAGGCCTTAATCTATAAATATATACTAAAGAACTGCACACATTTTTTTCACTCCCCCAATTCCAAGTGTGAGCCTATGGAAGACCAACTTCCAGCAGACTATGCTCCCCAAAAGGACTGTAGATCCTCAGGGCTAGTCACAGTAAACTGACTGAGTCAAAATATTCTTTTTAAATAAGTATTTATCTTAACTTGTGCATATGATATACATCACAGACTCAGCTGTTCTTTTGGTTCCCATCCCATCTTACACAGCTAGGGAGCTGCATAGAAGGTAGAAGACAAGCAAAAGAAAACACACATAGGAGCTCTCTACGACCTCTGTACTCACAAGCCTCAAGATTGCTTCCTCCCAATGTGTAGCACATGTAAGATTGACCATAAGGTACTAGAGAAGCTGTTTCCCTAAGACTCTTCAGTGTAGCCCAAGCACCACTGACTTTCAGGAATGGGTCACGAATTATTTTGCAAGGAGGTTCACTAAAATCCACACTTTTTTTTTTTTTTTTTTTTTTTGGCAGAACCAGGGATTGAACTCAGGCCCTTGCCAGGAAAGCACTTATTCTACTGAGCCATCTCCCAGGCCCCTAAAATCCGCATTTGTTTGATGGTGAATGATACAGTTTGGACCATAAATGTCTCCCAAAGACCCCAGTGTTGAAGCTTTGGTGCCCACTAGGTGGCACTACTTGGCAGTAACAGAACCCATAGAATTGCTATTTTACCTTCTTTTCTCATTAAGATGAAAAAAAAGAAGAAACTGTCGGGGCTGGTGAGATGGCTCAGTGGTCTGAAGCACCTACTTAGAACAAGCTAAGCACAGGGACCACGGTTCAATCCCCCAGCACCACATGCCAGCCAGCCCC